AGTGTGTTTCGGGAAGGGAGAGCTGTCATTCCCTCAGGCCTAAGACCTGTCCAGAGGAGTGCCACCACCACGGTTTAACAGCCGGTTGTTATGGCAGTCGTGCATCACTCACAGAGCTCTCCCCTGCTGATACTTAACACAGACAGCCCTTACTGCAACTAAAATACTGTTCCTTTATGTCCCACCTCCTGTACTTAGCCCTTACTGCAACTAAAATACTGGTCCCTTCACCCGCTGTACTTGTGTGGGTCCCCTCCCATAGACCAAGTGGAATCAACCGTCACAGTACTATGTGTTTTACTAATTAATTCTCTACAGCTCAGGCTATGCGAAATGTCAGAATCTCCAGATTCAACCATGCTGGCAGGATTCATTAAGCCTGACTTCCCTCAGAAAATAATTTACCTTGTTAGAAAAGAACTATTTCATCAAATGGTTGAAGGACAGGGAAGACCGACGAGAGAGAAACATTGCCACGGAGACGGAAGCAGGATGGCCTACCTGCGGACACTGGCTCCACTGTCCCCAGTCAGACACTGCACACTCGCTGGGACAGTACAGGCTACACGGCTGCATCGTATCTGGGATCTCAGCCTGATCACACAGTGCGCTGGGCACAGTCTCCCCGCCGTGGTCCTCAGCAGTACTCACACACCTACACAGAAAACAGTTTCATTAGAGGATCATCAGCATCCTGCAGAAGTGATGGGTTCAACAGGTCTGCTCGGCCCCATATAGGACTCTATATATGTAACACAATAGCTTCATACAGCAGGGCTGGTCAAAAGGTAGAATTAATCATGTTAATGCAAATCAAAACCAGCCACATGCACCACATGCTTTTGTTACTCACAGATTTCAATAACTACTTTAAATAAACATTTCAAACTTCATACAGAGGGATTTTAACTTTGATCAGCTGACAGATGAGCGCACAGAAAATGACAACCAGCAAGAACAAACCTTTGTGCTCCTGCTAGTAACATCCGAACATTTGGAAATAACTCAGCGTTTCCCCGTGCCTGGGGAATGAATACTCACTAATAATGAATGCCACTCCGGTGCGTGCAGTGCCATTACTTAGGGAAACTGTTAGCAAATCAGAATATGGAGGCTCTGCACCTCAGGGGGCTTTATGTATACATGGCATTTAGGCTGAAGAATTCTAATTTAAACATCATGCCTTCTTCCTGAAAGATGTCTTGATCGTAACACAAGGCAGCATCTCTGAGATGCTCTTCCTGTAAGCCATCACACACAAATGCACGTTTCTTTTAATTTGAAACACACTGGACCCATCAACATAGCTGCTGTCAGATGGCCAGGTATTTCAGCTTTATGCAAGTACATATCAGCTCTTTTTAATCTGGGGTACCTGTGCTTTTGTCTTCACACACCTGACTTTCCTCGTTTGTATTCCTTCTCCACAGTGGAGGGAATTTTGTTCGCTGTTGATTTTGCACGGAGACCACGGTTCTACTACCCAAGAATACTGATTGCACTCAGTGTAGCATGGGACTGCCTCGTGCACCTGCCAGGAGAAAGAATCAAAACTGTTCATTTGAACTATCCAGGTTAGCGTCTCTGCAGAAACGCCTCAGCCAAACCCAGGAAAGAATACGCTGAAAAATATCCTGGCTTATGCTCCTTATGCCAAGAGTGTTGCAATAGCTTTAAGTTCATTTATTCATTATTGACTTGCCAAGGGATTTTTAAGTATATAATAAACAGCAGTATGCATGCAGCATCTTAGGAAACAGGATAAATAACAGCTATTTCCTGCAGCCAGAAGAGGAACTCCATTACAATTTCATTTGCTCAGACTGCTCTCGCTATAATCTTAGCAGGACCGTATGTACCTCATCCTTTTGTGTTTCAGAAGGTACAAACTTAAAATCAGCACTCATTCACCTTTGCTTCTAACATATCCCTGAAAGTCATTTTCTATAAAAGAATGACATTTCATGCGTCCTATAAATTTCATTTTTATACACAAAAACTGTAAATGCTTTTTTCCCTGCAAGTGACTTATCTCTAACACATCTCCGTGTATTCACCTGAAATACCTGAAATATCTATGTAGAGAGAAAAATACAGCCAAAAGCTTGATAAACGTTTCAAAAAAGTGCTGGATATTCAGGTTGTTAGAAGCAGCATGCTGAGATAGAGTACTTTAGCAGATTTTTAGGTTTAAACAAATGAATGCATCAACAGTTCTATTACAGTAATGAATAGAAGTTATTTATTTTGAATCCAGTTTGTCTGCAGAAGCTGATTTGAAGATAGTGTTTTCTGTTGCTTTGTATGAAGCACAATGCATTGCCTTGAAAAAATACAGCGCTCCTAAAATTTCTTCTGCCACACTCCAAAATCTCCTTGGCCTTGCTGCTGCGGAGCCATTCGATTCTCACCATTAAAATAACTAAATCGATAGCATTTCTCCCAAATCTATACCCACTCCCCCTAAATATATATATATTCATCCACAGGTTTTATAATTTATAGCTTCATTTTAAAATAGTAGATTATGACTACTCATGTTGTGGCCACAACAATAAAGAAATTTTGGGGGCAGGGAGATTGAGATACCAGTAAGAAAATGAAACTGGTGCCCCACAAGAAAATTACCTTCACATCAAATGAAAAGAAGATAACTGGCTAGAGGAAACCGCTCAGGAACAACCAACGTCGGAAACTAATTTTAACTGTGGATCTTTATAAGCGCTGTGCATAGGTTTAGCAGAGAGTAAGATAGGCTAAAAAGCACAAAGTACATGAAGGAGGAAAAAAGGCAAAGGTGGCAATAGAACTCGGGACTGGTGGGTGCAAGCACAGCATGAACTAGTAAGAGCATCATGTTTTAGGCAGGGGATGGGCAAAAGCAGGGGGACTAAGGGGCAAAGGCAGTAATACGATTGAGCCTGGCTGGTGGCCAGGTGTCCCCCTCCAAAGCCGTTCTGTCCCTCCCCTCCTCAGCTGGGCAAGGGGAAGAAAATATAACAAAAGGCACTTGGGTCAAGACAAGGACGGGGAGGGATCACTCAGCAATTTCCGTCACGGGCAAAACAGACTCAACTTGGGGAAAATTGATTTAATGTATGACCAATAAAATCAGAGTAAAAAAGAACAAAAACTAAATCTTAAAACCCCCTTCCCCC